AGTATATGGAGATATATGTTCATCTTTCACTCTATGGATAGCTACAAAGAACCAACACTAGATGGAATCAAAGAAAGAGCTGGCACCAGGGTCTGATGAAAGTTGGGAAGTACGGAAATTGTTGAATAGACTGTGAATGGGTACAACAATATCCAGAGACACTCTGAACAAATGGGGCTATCCAGTGGCTTTTGCTCTATGAGATTGTGGTGATATGCAGACAACAACACATATGTATACCTGCCCTTTATGTCCTGATCAGTATATACTTAAGGACCTCATGGCAGTGCAAAAGAATACAATTGATGTTGCTATTTTCTGGGCAAGATCTGTTTAATTTATATATATCTTGTTTTTTATATATATATATAAACTGTGATGCTTCTGACATGAATAAAAATAATAATCTCTACTCCCATTGATATTAGTGAAAGACAGACAGGAGGAATAGGAATTGTAATAGTAATAGTGATCAGCTGTTTGGAGACACTGATAATATTTATCAGCCACAAAACATCCTTTTCTTCCATGTTCAGAACTAGAACAAACGGCCTTGACGCAACAGCTGCAGTTTCTAAGATCAGAAATCATAATTCAGAGGCAGGGTAAGAATAGCTGTCACTCTTTTACTTTTTTTCCCAGTTCATGTTGTCCCTTTTTCAATTTGTGATCTTTTTAAATGACATGAAAGAGAGGGAGAGGGAAATCTCTTCAATAATTGTAATTTTCCATGCAATTTGCCCAGCATGTATAATCCCAGCAAAGAGTTCTCTGTAATATAATGCAGTTTGGTGTCTTTTCGCCCAGCATGTGATTTTCTGGCTGCTGTTCCCTCATAAAGAGGGGTCCACAGGATATAATAATAATAAAAAAAGTCGAGATAGAGGCCTCAGCATTATATTTGAAGCTCTGACTGTTTTTAGATGTATCTCACACACATAATGAAATTTAAAAAGAAACAGGCAGAACTTTGATTGGACATTGTGACCATTATCTTATTGTTTTGGACTGTCATACACACATTCAATTATTTCCTCCTAATATAATGTTAGTTTGCATGCTTTGCTGTATCACATATGTTTTCCAGGAGCAAATTGCATCTTAAAAGCTAAATGGCATGTTCCTTGATATATATTTCTGTATAAATTTATAGAATGTAAAGTGGGCAAAGCTGCATTAAAATGCACATTGAACAAATCCTTTTCAGAAAGGATTTATCAGAATGCTTACATTTCTGATAAATTTACATTTATCAGAAATGTAAACACTGTAGTTCCTTTCTACTTACCTCTTACAGGGAACCTAAAGTAACCATGTACATTTGTGTTTAATTATTTTATAATTTGCTTTCTGCTACTGCATTTATAGTTTAATAGCCTTCCTTAGCCCGAGCTTGCTCTGCTTAGAGCACATAGTCCTATCTAGAATCATATTCTCCCTCTGTAAATGTTGCTGGATAACATCTGTTTTGGAAATTGTGTTGACATGTGGTTATATATCTTTTGATTGCCTGCCCTTCGGCATTTTAACTGGACCACAGAAATGTGTTTTAAATCACCCCACATGATGGCCTCCCCTAATCAGAAAGGAGAAAAGAGTTGTTCTTTGCAAAAAAAAAAAAAAGTTAGCTGATTAATATGGTTATCCCTTTTCCATTACATTTGGTATAAACTTTGTTGGATTACTGATGAAATGCAAGGATCAGTTTACTACATTTAACTAGATCCAGGTCACAAGGCATCCCAAATCTGCCTCAAATCTTTATATTCTTGTATAGAACAAGAACAAATTTGTAGGTGTGTATCATTCTTTATTACTGATGCAGACATTACACTGTCAGAAAAGCTGGGACCTCTAAGAATTTGATGATTTATGAGGCATTTATCACTGTATTTAAATTCCATCTGACAACAATCCTGTTTCCAAGGTTATCTGCCAGAGGGGTAGGGGAGAGTGTCAAAAAATCCAAATGATGGCTTTAATAGTATGATTAATGCCCTGCCCCTTTTTCTTTACATAATTATAATTTTTATTAAAACTTTTTATTAAAACTTTAAAGAGGAAATAAAAATTATTGCAAATTAATATGAAGTAAGAAAGAAAAAAGAAATAAGATAAAAGCAAAAGTGCAAGAAAAAAGATTGAAGAAAAATAGAAAAGAAAGAATATATATATATTCTTCACAAGCAGTTGTATCTACAAATTTACTTTACCTCTCTAAACTCCTTATCCAGCACCCTAAAAAGTTACATCTCCTATTTAATATATAATAGAAGAAAAAAGTTATTCAATACATAGGAAGTTATCATGTTAATGTTAAATAACAGCATATAATATTAATTAAATATGTATGAGTTCAAACTGAATCTGGGGTTTTGGCTTGTTTGTTTTGTCTGTGTTTTATCTATCTTGGACCTGCTTACTTTGGGGAGTGTTATGTTCAAAATGATAAATGTTGCCAAATCTCTGCTTTATATGAATCCTTCTGTTTTTGACTGCTGAAAAACAACAGAACAGATTAACAGAGTTGGAAGGGACCTTGAAAGTCTTCTAGTCCAACTTCCTGCTCAAGCAGGAGATCCTATATCATTTCAGACAAATGATTGTCCAATGTCTTCTTAGAAGTCTCCAGTGATGGAGCACCCACAACTTCTGAATGCAAGCTGTTCCATGGGTTAATTATTCTCACTGTCAGGAAATTTCTCCTTAGTTCTAGGTTGCTTCTCTCCTTGATTAGTTTCTACCCATAGCTTCTCGTCTTGCCTTTTGGTACTTTGGAAAATAGGTTGACCCCCACTTCTTTTTGGCAGCCCCTCAAATATTGGAACATTGCTATCATATCAACCCTAGTCCTTCATTTCACTAGACTAGACATACCCAATTTCTGCAACTGTTTGGCTTCCAGCCTCATAATCATCTTTGTTGCTCTTCTTTTCCAGAGAGTGCAGAATCAAATTAGATTTCACTTGTGGCTTCCTTCTTTGTAGGACTAACTGTGCAGAGGTAACAAGAGGTTGGGCTAACAGTTGACTGTAAGTTCTTGGAAAACTGACCCTCACACAACTGGGGCAGTAAAAGAATCCAATCAGTCAGTGCTATGTTGCAATGCAGAGTTTTCTAGCTAGGTTGTCTTCTGATGCAAGGAAGATGAAACTATCAGCCAAATTATCTCCTCTATCTCTTTTTCTATTTCTTAAGGAAGTAATGTGTCTGAAAAAGTGAGTTAAGGTTTATAGTCTATATTGTTTTTATTCTACAAGGCTTTTATGATTAATATCTGTGTGTATTTCCATATCTTTATTTTGGGCTATTTGATTGTGTGGATATTTTCCTCCTCCTCCTCCTCCTCCTCCTCCTCCTCCTCTATAATTTCTTTATAAAAATAGTTACAGTTGGACTTATTTGAAATAACTTTTTAAAAGTGGGATATTAACGGTGAATTAAGCAATTAATGCCCCATAATATATCAACTGACCTCCCCCTCCAAAAAGCAGTTCTATCATTTCCATCTAAAGCTTGAGGGTCCTCTTACTTATTCTCAGAAGATAGGCTTTCCTGAGGTAGGGGTGAGAGGTTAGGACTGACTTATTAGTGGTTTCATTCAATGGTTTTGAAACATATCCATAAGATATGCTATATCTGGTTTCAATTTCATTTTCTTTTCCATTAAAAACCTCAGAGCTTCCTATGAACATTATCAGATGAGGAAAATGAAGTAAGAGAGAGAACTGTTTAATGATACTGGAGGAACGTGGTTCAAAAAGGATATCCTTACACATTTTGCCAGATTTAATAAAACACTTTTGTACCCTTCATAGCATTTTCTTTCCATTGTTAACATCAACTCTGCAAAATGTTAGTCCTGACACTGCTGAGATAATGCTGGATTCTTTCTATTGGTGACCCATGTCCCTAGTTTTCTTGTTGTTTGAGTTACTTTGATTCTGATTTTGTTAACAAGGAGATGCTTGATTGGCCCTAAACAGTTCCTGCAAAGCAGCTGAATCAAAGAGTAGCCTTTCAGTTTACTATCTGGTTCTTATTTGCTTTAGATTGGAACTTCTATTAAAACAATCATGGTTATGAGATATTATGTGATATTGTGCTAGCAAGACAGCAATTTTTTTTTCTTCTGTGATGAAGAAAAGAAATACGGTATATAAATATTAAATTTTCCTATGCTCTAATTCCTAAAAACACATCCAATGAGATATCTTTCTTCCAAGATATTTAGCATCTTTAACAGCTTTGTCATTCCAATTCAACAATCAGGCACAAGATATAAGTTGAAATGAAGGATCATATCATATACCAGACAATTCTTCTGTCATATTTCTAGGTATTTCTGTCATTTATTTTTATATTTTTAAATAACATCCAGATCAAGGAAATAACCTGTAATTTGCTTTTCTTAAAATCATTGAGACTTGTTAATTGTGATTGAATTACATCATTAATGTCTTAGGGACTAAAGCTTGAAAATGCACCCTGTATACTGTATGATATCCTTTAATTATTGGGCAACAAATATATCTTTGAGAAAACATTTAAAAAGAAGATTAGTTAGGAAAAGGAATGTCTTCATCAGTAGCCCTTCTTCCTTTTTTCCCCTAGCAATTACTTACAATGTCTGTATCTAACCAAAAGAGCAAAGAAAAATATGGTCATTGTCATGATCTTCATCAAATTATCGAAATAGAATTGGCATAAATTATAAATCAATAATTTAAGACATCAAGAACATTTTGCACATGTGTTTAGAAAGATTATTACATACTTATGAAAGTTGATTTTCCCAAAAGTGACAGTCAGCGTCTGTCCTTCCATTTCCAATTACTTTTCTGTGGCTGGAATGAGGTAAGTTGTAATACATACAATAACAACTAAACAGATTGAAGAAGACTGTGAACATTTATTGTCGAATGAAAATTTCTATGGTGTATGTTGCACAAATATAAGCAGGGATGATGAAACTCACTTCTTCATTTTTTTCCTCCTAGGGTTTTGGTAGTCCCTCTGGTGAATATTGGCTGGGCAATGAATTTATCTTTGCAATAACCACCAGTCAAAAACATTACTCTCTAAGAATTGAACTAATGGATTGGGAAGGAAGTCGGGCTTATTCACAATATGATAGATTTTACATAGGAAATGAAAAACAGAATTACAGGTGAGTGCATATGTTATTTTACTTTTATGAATGCCTTTTTAAATATGCATGTAACTGATCAGTTGGAAACCTCCTGGAATCATGAAAGTAAAACTTGAATTTTGTTTTCAATAGTTGGAGTATGAGATCTTATATGAATCTCATTCAGACTATTCAATATTGTTTATTCTGATTGTGTTCATGTACATCCGGGTAAATAAATAAGATGCTCATATTAATTTCTTAATTGCTGGCTGTGGAATTCTGGGAGTTGAAGTCCACATGCCTTAAAATTGTCAAGGTTGAGAAACACTGATCTATTGGATCTATCCATTTGCATGCATTCCTTTAACAGCATATTCCCATGTTATATCTCTAGCTTTCTAATTATATTTCTTAGAGTGCATTTTGAATCAATTTTTTTTGGCAATCAGTAAATGTTCTTAGATTACTGAGCGTAAGATACTTTTGTGATACTTTATTTGTATTAATTAAGAAATATGTTTAGAGGTTGTACTATGCTAGAAAGACTAGTAGACTAGATGTCTGTGTCTATATTTAGTAAATAAGAAAATAGCAGAGTTGGAAGGGACCTTGGAGGTCTTATAGTCCACCCCCTGCTCAAGCAGGAAACCCTATACCATTTCAGACAAATGGTTGTCTAATCTTTTCTTTAAAACTTCCAGTATTGGAGTATCCACAACTTCTGGAGGCAAGTTGTTCCATTGAATAATTGTTCTAATTTTCCAGAAATAAAGTTGAAGACCTTTAATATTATACTCCCTTCTCAACTTAAGGTTTTCAATTCTTCTTGGCTTGGTTTTAAGTTTAATTTCTCAGTGTGTATTTAACTTTCTATTTGTCTAGTTTTATTTTTCTCTCTCTTCCATCTTTCACCCTATTCCTTTCTCTTTTTCTCTTAGTATTTGAAACAATTATTTCCAAAAGATTGGACATACAAGGCTAGCTAGTGAAATATATTTGTCAATGCTCCTGGCATCTTCTTCCATACACAACAGCATTTCCAATTATCAAATAAAGGAAGAAATAGAAGAAAGATGCAGTCACAGCATCTTCTCAGTTTTACAGCAACAGTTACTAATTAAAGGTGTAGGGGAGATGAGGATAGAGTTGGGGATAGCTGTTGTGATTCCAAAAACACCAAGAGCAGTACAGAATGTACAGATTTGGCTTAAGGTTTGACTAAGCTAGCTATTCAAACTTGGCTCAAAGTAATGCACATTTTGCAAACAGCAGGAGAATACTGTTGGGGTGTTTTGATCATGAAAAAAACTCTGTGGTATCACATAAAACCCTGAAGATGAACATTTTCCCAGGATGGAAATAGCAGATTGAGAGCATAAATAAAGGTTAAGTTATTATTTTTCATTTAAAAGATAGTGATCTAATAAAGATAGTCAGAGTTCTCAGTTCTTACTCTGGCCAAGTTCTGTATCTTATTGGACCACAGAGTTTAATAGTCTTTGCATACTGGTTTATGTTTTCTTTCAGCCCAGTTTATTATTTAATATAATTTCAAAGTTATGGATGACTTTCAGTGATTAAGAGTAGGTGTGCCACAAACAAAGATAGAAGTACTGCAGCCCTCAATAGCAGACAATATTCCTGGTCTTGTCAAATTTTGTCATGATTAGAACGAGGCAGGTCCAAGGAAAGATTTATTCACAGTTTAACACTCAAACACCTTATCTAACATAGAGAAGTTTTCAAGTTCTATCACTGTCATCTTGAGTTCAAGCACACAAGTCTTTGATTTCAAATTTTGGCTTTATTCCTTTATTCAATGTGTATCACAGCTTGAAGTTAGAAAAAAAAAGATGTGATGGTGACATATGCCTCTTAGTACACCTTAGTAAGGTGTAATTTTCATGCCAATTGCAGTTTCCTCTTATGAATGTGGATTTCTATGGGCATCTTATTAGCTACTGTGGGGAAGGAATGAAAGACTAGATAGGCTTCTGGTCAGACCTAGCATGCTTCTTCATGTATTGTTATAGAAAATTGTTGCCATTCATCACTGATAATAATGGACTATGTGTATAAATGCATTGAGGTACTGAAATGCAATATCATATATTCCCACAAGATCAAATCAGACTCAGAGAAATTTTAGATAATCAGAAGTGCAACTCACTATGATTCAAATCCACACATACCTATCACACTAATTCAGGGTAAGCAACATTATGAATAATACAAAAAATGAAGTAAAAACTAGTGGGTTAAAGTAATTAAGACACAAGATAAGAAAAATAAATGGAACTATACCTAAATCAGGTTTACACAAACATAGTTGCTCTTCATATATTTTCTAATCCTAGAAACTATTTGTGCTTCTATTATATCCATCTATGACTTCATATCTTGCTTTACACTCTTTGAAACTCTCTGTTCCTTTTCTCATTTATTGAAGTCTACCCAACCACAAATTTCTTTGTTTTCTTCAGCCTCTGAATCCATTCATTCTTCCTTCATATTTTGCTTTTACAATTTACAACTTCTATTCATTATATGACCAGACCACCTCAAGGCATGTCTTTTTACTGGTCACCCACTTTATTATTATTCAGCACCCATTCTTTCTTGGCTATCTCTCCATTTACTATGCAAGTTTCCTAACTTATTTCCATGTTTCTTCTAGAATATTTAGCTCTCATGTCTATGTATCAAAGAGGCAGAAGCATGCACATTTATACAGCTGGTTTTGTTTATTTTGGCAAATATTATACCTCATAACATACAATCATTTCCCAAACACCATTTATACATCATAACATCTCTGTATCCATTTCCTCAATTTTAATTTTTTTATCAAAGTATGCAGATTTATATACCTACTCTTCTTTCATCTTTGTATAGCTTGCAAATATTTGGTCCATTTTCTCCCTCAAACACAATTGCCTTGGTCTTTAATATACTTGTTTTCAGATCCATACATCTTGTTGCATCCCACCATCTAACATTCATTACAAATTATTTCAGTTTTAGCCACTGCTAAAATTCACTTACTTTCACATCCATTTCATTGTCACTACAAACATTCATTATACACTTCAAGATGTAATCTGTGATTTCCACTAGGTTTTTCCATAGATACTGCAGCATCTCTGCTAACATTAAAGTCACTATTGGTGAGATTGATACATTGTATCAAGTGTGTCCTAAGTACAACCAAAGGCTAGTCTTAGCTCTTGTTTACAACACAGTCTGTCAGCAGTTCCAAGAAGATTCCACAGCCATTTGCACTATTCAGTTGATCCTGAGGGCACAGATGACCTCCAAGTGGCCTCAATGACTGTCAGAAAGAGTACTAATGACTAGATGACTACAAGAAATATAAATCCTTCCATTCTCCACTATTCAGTCAAAACTGAAGAAGCAAAACAACTTCAAGGAAAAAACAAGAAAGCCCAGTTGCCTTTTGAATAAAGCAGCCTTGGGCCAATCAAAGTTTAGTTTTACCCCTAGCAAATACACATCTTTCCCTGCAAGTGAGAATCTCTAACCTAAAGACTACCACAAAAGCCAACAAATCAGTGAAGAATATACATATTCAGAAAACACACATACTCAGGATGCAATCCTATCCATGCATTTATATATTCAAATATGTACATAGCAGGAACAGAAAGAGAGGAAATGTCTATGAAATCCTTAGCAATATGCAAATTTATTTGTCTTGGGAAGTTGACTTTTAGCCAGTTAGCTCTTTTCATTTTATTAATATACCAATGATGGTTTTCAAGACAGTACTATAGGAAATGGTCACCGGCATATGAATATGAATTCCCCTTGCCAAACATAGAAGGCTACAGAAGATGGTGAAGAACTAAAGACAGAAGGTCAATACCATAGATTAGACTCTATTATTGCCTTATATTTTACCAATGTTTGTTTCTCCTCTTTGAGTTCCATTGGTTTTCAGCTGTTTTATTCTGAATATATCTCAGGAGGAATGGCCTATTTGTGTGCATTCACCCAGCCAAATGAAAGCCTTTTCCATGATGATGAAATGATTAATTACAATAATGGTTCTGCATCCAATTTTCTGTTAACAAAGGCACAAACACAACCAGGGTGCACAGCTAATGTAATTCAAACACCACCATTTCTATCAGGAACAAAAATAGCCATCCAAGCAACTGGTTTCCAAGTTAGTTTGGGCATTTGTTCAAAGAATACTAAAATAGAAGGATGAAAACAAAATAAAACAAAATGAAATAGGGTTGTGGAAGATAGGAAAAAAATATATATTGAGTGCCTTTTTTGCACTTGAGTCTCCTCACTGGTTAAAGAACACCGTTCCAACATTTCATTACAATCACTGATGTAAGAATTCAGAGTCTACAAACTAATCCATTGCATCTGAAAAAATATGGAAAATCATCTTTCATACTGTTCTATAACACCCTATAGAAAGTTTGGATTCAGCCTGGATCACTCCCAACTGGTGACTTCAGAATGTTCTGTTTATTCTCTATGCTGTTTGTATTTCTTTCTTTCTACTACATCTTATTAGTCTAAGAATCTCTGATTTGGTGCAGTAATGCTGAACACATGTACATTAAGAAATATCCTCACTTTTCAAAACCATACAATTATGAAGTGTTTTTTTTTTTCTGGGAAGTCAAGATCCCAACTAAAGTATACAAAGTATCCAAGAGCTCACCAAAATGTTTGATAATATATGGCATTTGCTCAATTACATGGGGTGGATGTTTGTATTGGATGGATATAGTCTTTTACGTTTCTGCACAGGAAATATAGAGTATGACATGTCTATGAATCTATATAAGTTTGTGGTATAAAGATTGATACAGTTTTAGATCATAGACAAATACACATTTGTTATTCCATTGGCCAGACTGAATCCTCAGATAGATTTATTGGGAAATCGAGGAAGAGGGAGAGAAGGATATGCAATCATACAAATAAATTTGTTTCAGGAATGGCTTAGGTTTAATTTTGATTTTTCTTATGTGTTTGTCTCAAAATAGTTT